ATCCAATCTAAACCTCCCCCACTGCAACTTGAGACCATTACTCCTCGTTCTGTCATCTGCTACCATTGAGAACAGTCTAGAGCCATCCTCTTTGGAACCCCCTTTCAGGTAGTTGAAAGCAGCTATCAAATCCCCCCCCTCATTCTTCTCTTCTGCAGGCTAAACAATCCCAGCTCCCTCAGCCTCTCCTCATAAGTCATGTGTTCTAGACCCCTAATCATTTTTGTTGCCCTTTGCTGGACTCTCTCCAATTTATCCACATCCTTCTTGAAGTGTGGGGCCCAAAACTGGACACAGTACTCCAGATGAGGCCTCACCAATGTCGAATAGAGGGGAACGATCACGTCCCTCGATCTGCTCGCTATGCCCCTACTTATACATCCCAAAATGCCATTGGCCTTCTTGGCAACAAGGGCACACTGCTGACTCATATCCAGCTTCTCGTCCACTGTCACCCCTAGGTCCTTTTCCGCAGAACTGCTGCCTAGCCATTTGGTCCCTAGTTTGTAGCGGTGCATTGGATTCTTCCGTCCTAAGTGCAGGACCCTGCACTTATCCTTATTGAACCTCATCAGATTTCTTTTGGCCCAATCCTCCAATTTGTCTAGGTCCTTCTGTATCCTATCCCTCCCCTCCAGCATATCTACCACTCCTCCCAGTTTAGTATCATCCGCAAATTTGCTGAGAGTGCAATCCACACCATCCTCCAGATCATTTATGAAGATATTGAACAAAACCGGCCCCAGGACCGACCCTTGGGGCACTCCACTTGATACCGGCTGCCAACTATACATGGAGCCATTGATCACTACCCGTTGAGCCCGACAATCTAGGCAGCTTTCTACCCACCTTATAGTGCATTCATCCAGCCCATACTTCCTTAACTTGCTGACAAGAATACTGTGGGAGACCGTGTCAAAAGCTTTGCTAAAGTCAAGAAACAATACATCCACTGCTTTCCCTTCATCCATAGAACCAGTAATCTCATCATAAAAGGCGATTAGATTAGTCAGGCATGACCTTCCCTTGGTGAATCCATGCTGGCTGTTCCTGATCACTTTCTTCTCATGCAAGTGCATCAGGATTGATTCTTTGAGGACCTGCTCCATGATTTTTCCAGGGACTGAGGTGAGGCTGACTGGCCTGTAGTTCCCAGGATCCTCCTTCTTCCCTTTTTTAAAGATTGGCACTACATTAGCCTTTTTCCAGTCTTCCGGGACTTCCCCGGTTCGCCACGAGTTTTCAAAGATAATGGCCAATGGCTCTGCAATCACAGCCGCCAATTCCTTCAGCACTCTCGGATGCAACTCGTCCGGCCCCATGGACTTGTGCACGTCCAGCTTTTCTAAATAGTCCCTAACCACCTCTATCTCCACAGAGGGCTGGCCATCTCTTCCCCATTTTGTGATGCCCAGCGCAGCAGTCTGGGAGCTGACCTTGTTCGTGAAGACAGAGGCAAAAAAAGCATTGAGTACATTGTTTTCCCATCCTCTGTCACTAGGTTGCCTCCCTCATTCAGTAAGGGGCCCACACTTTCCTTGGCTTTCTTCTTGTTGCCAACATACCTGAAGAAACCCTTCTTGTTACTCTTGACATCTCTGGCTAGCTGCAGCTCCAGGTGCGATTTGGCCCTCCTGATATCATTCCTACATGCCCGAGCAATATTTTTATACTCTTCCCTGGTCATATGTCCAACCTTCCACTTCTTGTAAGCTTCTTTTTTATGTTTAAGATCCGCTAGGATTTCACCATTAAGCCAAGCTGGTCGCCTGCCATATTTACTATTCTTTCGACTCATCGGGATGGTTTGTCCCTGTAACCTCAACAGGGATTCCTTGAAATACAGCCAGCTCTCCTGGACTCCTTTCCCCTTCAAGTTAGTCCCCCAGGGGATCCTGGCCATCCGTTCCCTGAGGGAGTCGAAGTCTGCTTTCCTGAAGTCCAGGGTCTGTATCCTGCTGCTTACCTTTCTTCCCTGCGTCAGGATCCTGAACTCAACCAACTCATGGTCACTGCCTCCCAGATTCCCATCCACTTTTGCTTCCCCCACTAATTCTACCCGGTTTGTGAGCAGCAGGTCAAGAAAAGCGCCCCCCCTAGTTGGCTCCTCAAGCACTTGCGCCAGGAAATTGTCCCCTACGCTTTCCAAAAACTTCCTGGATTGTCTATGCACCGCTGTATTGCTCTCCCAGCAGATATCAGGAAAATTAAAGTCACCCATGAGAATCAGGGCATGCGATCTAGTAGCTTCCGTGAGCTGCCGGAAGAAAGCCTCATCTACCTCATCCCCCTGGTCCGGTGGTCTATAGCAGACTCCCACCACTACATCACTCTTGTTGCACACACTTCTAAACTTAATCCAGAGACACTCAGGTTTTTCTACAGTTTCGTACCGGAGCTCTGAGCAGTCATACTGCTCCCTTACATACAGTGCTACTCCCCCACCTTTTCTGCCCTGCCTGTCCTTCCTGAACAGTTTATAACCATCCATGACAGTACTCCAGTCATGTGAGTTATCCCACCAAGTCTCTGTTATTCCAGTCACGTCATAGTTCCTTGACATCACCAGGACCTCCAGTTCTCCCTGCTTGTTTCCAAGGCTTTGTGCATTTGTATATAAGCACTTGAAATAACCTGTTGATCGCCCCTCATTCCCAGTATGAGGCAGGAGCCCTCCCCTCACAGACATTCCTGCCTGTGCTTCCTCCCGGTATCCCGCTTTCCCACTTACCTCAGGGCTTTGGTCTCCTTCCCCCGGTGAACCTAGTTTAAAGCCCTAGTTGCTTGGGTAGGGGTCCTGTAATTCATGAAGAAGAAAGAGAGAGAGATAGGGAGAGGCCTCCTGATGTAGATGTGTGTATTCCACTCTGCATGACCCTGGAGCATCCACAATAAACCTCACACTAACACAGTGATCTGTGTCTAGTGAGATGGGTCCCTCCTGAGCCAGTTTACATCCTTGCCAGCCAGTCTGAACTATCCCTGTTTCTTGATCTATATCCATTTCAGTTTAAAACTGAGTATAATTTTCAATATTTACCTCTTAAAGTTGAATTTCCCACACTTGAGGAATTTGCGTTTCAGGAAAACAAAAACAATTGCACATGCCTGCAACCCTGCCATGTTATTAAAGACCTGAACTAAGGTATGAGTTAGTGTCTCTGGAAATGAATGGGGCAATTTACACCTCAGAACTTTTGTTTCACTCTCTCTGCAAAATCAGGCTACTGTTTCTGCATCTCTTCCACTTGTTTCATGTTTTGAAGGTTTTCTTTGCAACCATGACAACTAGATACTTTTGACTGGAAGTTGAAATTGGAGAAAAATTCAGAGATCTGTTTGTCCCCCCAGTTAGCCTGGAAATGTTGCTTTAAGAAAACGTCTTAGACTGGTGGAAATGAGTGGACTTCCTTGTAATGCTTACAAGGGAAGATAATTGGAGTTAGCCTTTCTTACGGCACTGAATGTTCTTTCATTGTTCATTCCCTTTTTACGTGCTCACAAAGGTGCATCTACACTTATGGTGCTGTGTAGAGTACAGACCCAGCATGCCCAGCTAGTGTGGGGTTAAATAACGGTGCAGACAGTAAGGCCAGCTTAGGCAAATAGAGTCGAGTTCCTACATGCCTGAACCCCCAAGATATATACTCCACACAGTTCTCTGCATGGCCAAGCTATGCCTCCCACATCTACACAGCTGTTTTAACATTGTAGTGTCCTGCTGCCAGAGCCTTTCCTCGCTGCAATGAAAGGCTCTGGGAGCTCCTTGATGATGGTCCTTTCCCCACTGCCTTCTCCCTGCTGGAACCTTTCCTCACCCCCCAGTGAAAGGCTCCGGCAGCTGGAGCCTGTCCCTGTGGCTGTAGCTACATGTGTAGTGGCTGTACTCTACACACCACCATAAGTGTAGACATAGCCTTACCGGGAGGGTACAAGTACGTGGCAGAAACTTCAAGTGCATGTCTCTTGAATAAAACCTTAGTTTGCAAAAGCTTCATTAAGTAAAAGGCACCACAAACATTTGTGCTATTCATGTTGAAGTTAAGGTCTGGATTTGGTTAACTGGTGTAAAGAGCATCTTCTAAGGGCTTGTCTACATGTGGAGTAAGCTAGGATGTGAATTTCAAGTGCATTAGCTATTCCCTTTGTGCAGTTTAAGCTAGGCTGCACAAAGGCAGTCTTGATGCAGAGTAAGAGTGTTCACATCAGGAGTTAGTGCGGGGAAGCTAGTGTGCACCAGCTACTTCAAGCTCTTTCCCCATATAGACAAGCCCTTAGTTTATTCCATACCGTTGTGACTGGGACATAGTGAAAAGTGAACTTCAGATTGGAAGATTTACTGTTGGGAAGATGCAGGCAGCTATTTTGTCATAGCTGGATAGTGGTAGATGCAGTGTCTTCAGGACAGGGCTGCCATCCTTTAAGGTTTAGGCTATTATTTCAAACCATTTTAGAGAGCATTAATCACAAATGAATAACAGGGTCATGTCAAGTTACTGCTCTATCTTCCCCCTCCTCGGTGTTGTTTGCCTAAATTTAAACTTGAAAAAATAAGGCTGCTTTTTTCCAGGTTTCATGATTTTTGTTAAGAAAGTGTTCAGAAGGCTTAGTCTCACAACTCCATTTACATTAGTGAGTCGTTCTGCATCCTCACTGGCTGAGGACATCAAGAACAAGAAATGTTTCAGGCTGTATATTGTCACACTGCATTAAAAGGAGGTTCCTGGGACCATTTACAGGTTGGGATGCTATATAAACTGCAACTCCTCCTCATTGGTAACTCCTCTCCCACTTTTTTTGATCTGATTTTTGTGTTCTTGTCAACACCACTGTGTATTTTCCACTCTTACTTGGATGATGTAATGCTGTGTATTTTACCTATACATGGAATTTCCTTTCACCTGTTGTTGTAGCATTAAAGCTTTTCCTTCAGAAATAAGCAAGGTGTTTTCCTTGTATTCATGTCCTTCTTTGATCTAATCATCCTTCTTTCCTTCTAGGTTCGCATGATGAAAGAGAGCGATCCACCCTGGAAGCCCACTTTCATTGTGAAACCTGATGGCGGGTGTCAAGGGGATGGAATCTACCTCATTAAAGACCCCAGCGACATTAGACTGGCAGGAAACCTACAGAGCCGGCCAGTTGTAGTCCAGGAATATATCAGCAAACCGCTGCTGATTGACAAACTGAAATTTGATATTCGTCTATATGTCTTACTGAAATCTTTAGAACCATTAGAGATTTATATAGCTAAAGATGGACTCTCTAGATTTTGTACAGAGCCCTATCGAGAACCCACCCTGAAAAACTTGCACCAGGTATTTATGCACTTAACCAACTATTCACTGAATATTCACAGCGGGAACTTCATCCATTCGGACAATGTAAACACCGGCAGCAAAAGGACTTTTTCAAGCGTCCTCTACAGACTGTCTTCCAAAGGGGTTGACATCAAGAAACTGTGGTCGGATATAATTTCATTGGTGATTAAGACTGTTCTTGCACTGACTCCAGAGCTGAAAGTTTATTACCAATCTGATATACCAGCTGGAAAGCCTGGGCCAACTTGCTTCCAGGTAGGTGAGGAATTTTTATGTAAGGGGTGCACTCCCATGTAATATAACCTCATCATTGCTATAGCCATTCCTGTAACAATATTGGAGGGACGGTATTTTTTTATGCATAGATTAAGCTTGTATGTTTAATTCTCTTTCTACAAGTTTTCTCTCGAATTCTGTTTGTTGATCACTAGTGGGGATAGTAGTTGAAAATTGGGCAATGTCCTGTGCAAGTTCACAATTTATATTCTCTTCACCACATTTTTTGGCTTGCAGACCCTCATCAGTGTCCCTGAAGCCACCTTCCCACCGCCCTTAAAAACACCCTCATCGTTTCTGTGGGGTTTCAGTCACATTCAAACACTCCTCTTTGAAGCTTCCAGATGGCAATGTTGAAAACTCCAAATCATAATAATCATAGATGCTCAGATAGTGATGAATGTAGTGTAAACAGCATGAGGAAGGTCACCACTGGCAGTACATAAGGGAAATGCTGAGCACTTAGCACATTTCCAAATCCCCTACCCTCCCTCTCATTCCCTTTTACCTCTGCCTTCCAAATGTTGACATCTGGATGGCCATCTGTATTCTCCACATAAAAGACCAGTTCAGATTATTGCCACTTTGATAAGTTAGGTGGTCTGTCACATTGTGATTTCTAACTGGCCCAGTCAGTTTAAATGGTTTATGTGTTCTATGAACCAACTCGCTAAACCAGGAAAAATTTCCTCCATCCATGTAGGATTTTTGCTGGCTTCTTTTTGTAAGAGAGGACAGAAAGAAAGATGAGTCTTGAAATGTCCAGCATCACAAATGACCTTTGCAGAACTGTAATTCGGGCAGGTCTCACCAGAAAACCATGACAGGCTATGATTATATTAATAAACTCTATCATTAAAGTGGAGATGACCTCTGAAGCAGCAATTTACCAATTAGTGTCTAATTCCACAATAAAATGCTCTACTGATAACTACACTTCAGACATTTTTTATTTCCCTCCCACAACAAAGAGCCTGTAGGTATTGGCAAATCTGTATTCAGAACAACTAGATGAGTCCACAGTAAATTGGTTTCCTCTGCAGGAGAGTGGCGGGTTTTCACCTACCTTAATGGTCTCTATAGTGTGCTAGCAGCCTCAGGAAGGGAGAAGTCCATGTTGCGGTGTGCTGTACAAACCACCAGATTATCTGAGGAAAAAACTGTCACAGTAAAAGAGGTTTTGTGAAATCAGACTTTGGTTTTTTGTCTAAGGAATGGCAGATTGAGTGTAGAGCTAAGATACTGGAATGAATTGGAGAAATTGGAGGCAAGGATGGTCACTTTTCTTTAAACAAGATCGGAACAAATCTCACAATTGCATTAACAGGCTGAAGGCAAGCAGGTAGTGTCTTCAGCAGGACTTTTGCAAAGGCTGAGCAGACACTGTGTTTTGGTGTGCTACAGAGAAGACTCAGAAGGCTCAGCAAGGAAAGATGACCACACCAAGGAAATCCTGGTACAACTTAAGTCCCCATTGCACTAAATGCCATACAAACACATAGGAAGAGACAGTCCCTGTCCCAAAGAGTTTACAGTCTAAACAGACAAGACAGATAAAGTGCAGGAGAAGGGAAATATTAGCTTTGTTGTATAGGTGGGGAAGTGAGACATGAAGAACTTAAGTGATTTGCTTAAAGCCATGCAGGATGGCTGTGGCAGAACTAAGAACTTAACCCAGATCTCCTGAATCCCACTCAAATTCCTTAGCCAGTCCCATCATTCCACTTCTTATTACAGCATGATGACATAACAGCCTGTTCATGAAGGAAGGGGTTTAAAAAGATCTTTATTAAAATGTTCTATGGGAATGGGATTCTGTGTGTCCCTACTCTGGGTAAGTGCTTCCCCAGTGATGGGGGGGAAAACAAAGAATTTAGATAATCATGTTGAGCTCTCCAGTTCCATGGATGGGAGAGAAGTTTCTTTAGTTAGATGGATAACTTGACTACATAATGTTATGTGCAATTCTCTAAAAGAAATCACAGCGAGTAAAAGTAATGTTGTGTTGCGTTATGCACAGATTTTAGGATTTGACATTCTCCTAATGAAAAATTTGAAGCCTGTGTTACTTGAAGTAAATGCAAACCCCAGCATGAGAATAGAACATGAGCAAGAGGTAAGACCTTCCAGCCTGACATGATATTAGAATGTAATTGTTTGGGGGTTGGTTTTTTTGGTCTTTTTGTGTTTTTGAAAGATGGAAGCTGTTGGCTAATATGAAACCTGTAAGGCTTTTTGTAATATTTGGCTTTGCAATCATTGCTAATCTGATACTCTTGAAACATGACTTATTGGAATTTTGAAAGCTCTCCATCATCTTTGTCAGAAATGTACTTATTCCACATCCTGGCAGTTGAGTTAATTATATTTGGGTGAATATTAACCATTTTTCATGTTTGTGTATATAAATGGTAACATTGACGGCAATGATCTTTTTTTCAATGTATTTAGGTGACTTGACTAAAATTTCCATAGTGTCATTTTGTATATGTTAACAGATAATTTTTATTCTTTACTGAAGACTTCTATGCTCTGTCATTGTATATTTATGATCTAAGGGATATGAATAAGACTTGAGCAGCTACGTAATAAATAGCAGCAGTTCTACACTGAACAATTGTATCCTTTGCAAATTAAAGCTTTCTCCAGGAGTGTTTGAAAATGTCCCGAGCCCCGTTGATGAAGAAATAAAAGTAGCTGTCATCAGAGATACCCTTCGTCTAATGGACCCGCACAAAAAGAAGAGAAAAGATAATCAGTAAGTTTACTGACTTGACTTCTGTTTGTCAGTAGTGCCTACCAATAATCCTAAAAGTAATGCTCAAAAGCTTTTGGGTTTTAAAACCTTGCTTTCAGAGTTGTTCATGCTTTTCTAAAGAATTATAGTGTGATCTAGTGAGATCAGATCTAACTACCTGTGCATAGCTCCTTATTGCATACTCATCCTAGTAGTTTTTGAGCACTTTTATTCTAATAAATTGATCCATCATTAGTGCCAGTGATCTACTAATCCATAAATTTTGGTTCCCAAGCATCATTTTTGACTCACAAAGTCAGGAAATGCAGATTTGTATATACATTTGCTTTGAAAGTCACACAATGCTCTGTTGAGGAATGACTTTTCCCCATCTGAGCTGAAATGGGTAGAAATTGCATGTAAAAATGGTTTCCTTATTCTGTGACAATAAACATAATCATTCTAAAGCACAGTAGTCAGTCAGTAACTAGTAATACTTACTACTGTATTTTAAAGTTGGAGCTGATCTGGGAATGAGACTTACATTGGAGGAACAGTAAAACAGCCTGCACAGAAGTGGCAGTGGTGGGACAAGATTAAGAAGAGAAAGCAGAAATGCTTTCTGTTTTAATGTAACACCTTGTTTTTAAGCAATCTCTTGGAGCCAAGAAAGGGGAAAATGGTGTTTCACTAAGGAACCTTTGCCTATGGGTCTGTCTCTACTCTAAAATGTCTGCCTTTCTCCTCTTGTCACTTAGCAGAAAGCTTAAATTGGTTATTCATATTCTATGATGAGTTCAAGGACAATTTTGCTATCCTTGTGCTGAAAGAAAGAGCAGGAAAAGTAGAATTGTGTATATGTGTGGGGGGAAGGGGTTCATATACAGTTGGAAAGTTTTATCTTCTGCTTGCTAAGGAGCATGCAATCAAGGCATGATTTTTGACAAAATCAGCTAATTTTTTTCAAATGTAGTGTTTTTTACATTTATTTGTTGTAGCAGCCAGTATATATGCTGACTGATTACCTAGCAATCTTTCTCTGATCTTAACTATATTTAATTTTAACCCTTAGTAAGAGTACTTCAACACTGAGATCTGCAAAGTGGATCTTATTTTCTATTCCTGTAATTAAGCTATGTCTCCTTTATATTTATTCAGCCATTATCCCATGCATTCATTAACTATATTTAAGTATGGGATGCAAGGTGCAGCATATGGTTACAAATAAGGAAGTTAGTGAAGCACTCCAGTATGTGCTTGGAATACTCACCCATTGAGCATCTTTTATGGCACATTTTCACTGCAAAATAATTTATAATAGGATTATCCTGTGATGAGATAAACCACTGTCTCATCACAGCGTGAATTCATCAGTGACATAGCTTTTCTGAAGATAATCTGGTTACAGATGATCTTGTTACTGGGTATCTTGGTATCATCAGCACAAGACAGTCTTGTTCAGTGCTTCTCAGGGAGGTCTTTGCCATGTCTGAGCTGAGTTCTTAGTATGTGTTATATTTTCGTCTGAATGGATAGCAATTCAGGTGCAACAGCTCTCCTTGCATCAAGATACGATTTATCCCACCTCTTTGTAAATACCGTCTCTTGTACTGACGATGGCATGCTCCTGCCAGAGTGCCTCTTCCAGGAGGATTCACTCAAGGGTTGACTGTCACTGAAAATGTGCAACAAGGGTTAATTTTGTTTAAAGTCTACAAAAGCTTTTGGAGTCATGTGCTAGTATGTCCAGAAAATAGTCAGTTGCCTAGTGGGGAATAGGTAGTCAATCAAAGGTGGAGCAGAATTGTACTCAAAACATTCAGGGGACTTTAAGGTGGTTGACTGGATGTAGATTCTGGTGGGGGCTGTGGGCCATAGTGCAAACTTCACTATATACAAAGGTCAAGGGCTTGATTCTGATATCCTTTACCAATTTTATACTAGTGTAACAATATTATATGATTCTGATACCCTTTACCAACAATTATACTAGTGTAACAATAAAGTGCAGAACTTTAGCGTGATAGGACTCAAGCACCAAATACCTCTGGGTTGTTTTCTTAGAAAATGTTTTATAGCGTTTTCATTTTGTGCCTCTCCTCTCTCACCCATTTCAGCTGGATTTCAGTGAGTGCTAAAATGTGCCTGTTTCCCCTTTCCACACAAATTCCTTCTTTGTAAGGGTCCAGCTTAAAGATTATAGCTAAATAACCAGCTAAAGACACAGAGGACTAAGCAAAATATTATATGTATCGATTGCAATATTATTGTTATTCCAGTTCTTATTGGTTGCATGGTTAGAACTGAATCAGGCCCATTAAGACCAGTAAAATAACATAAAGAAGTCATGTTTTGAAAACCAACCATGCATCAAACATCCTCCAGTTTATTTTTAGTGATAAGTTGTTAATGGACATTGATTTAAATAAAATTTGGCAGTGTATGTAACACTCAGTTTGAACACATGGGAAAAAATTTAGAAAGAAATCGCAAGCTGCAAATGAATGTCATCTTAGACAGGTGACTATTCTGCTTTGGGGATGGATTTGATTTCCCTCTAATTATCTCCTAGATTAAAATAAGTGAAGCATCAAAATGAAAGTGAGTTTTAGAAATCATCCAAAAATACTTCATTATCAGGCAAAATTAATAGGTCATATATATTCTGTAGTTTAATTTTTTCTTTAGTTTTTACTCTTTATGGAGCTTTGATTTTTTTTTCCCCTGTGAAGTGATATATTACATTGAAAGTGCGAGTTAAGCAAAATCAAAGCAGTGCATTTATTATGCTGTACATCTGATTATCTCCAGCAACAGTCAGAGCCTTCAGGTCCACTAAGAGCCAATAATTATTTTGGCAATGCCAATAAGAAGTCATTGAAAATTTACAGTGATACAGATCAGCTCAATGAGGACCACTAAATGCATCTGTGGACTATATTTGCTATGTGTACTGAATTTGGCATTTGATTAGCATTATAGCCCTTTACAGTGTTTGCCCTGACCTGCAGATACTTGTACATCTGCATAATTTTTATGTCTCAAAGTAGCCCAATTGATTTCAATGGGACCACTCGTACTTACAATTAAGTGTATGCATAAGTGTTTGTTTGCATGATCGGGAGCTCTGTAGCACACTGAATAATAGAGAAATAGAGTTCTTTTAGTGTAGTATTGAGAGTGGTCCTGTGCTGCCCAATGATGTGAGGTACACAGACGCAAAACAGAGTGGAAGGGAAGAGCAGAACCAACATGGCATTCTCCCTTTCTTCCCCCAAGCCCATGGAAGCCCTTCTTTCTTATCAAAACAATGTTGATGGGCTGAGTATTTTTGAAGTATGTCCTGAGCTGGAAAGGAGGCATGAGATTCCCACTGTCTGCAGTATGTTCCTGTCTAGCACTGGCAGATAACCTTGTACAAGTTAATGCTCTTTTTTGCTGCATTAACTTCCTCCTTGTGTCTGTATTCTTTGTTAAGGGCCAGTTGCCTGCAGAGGAACCAATCGTAGCAAAATTTCCTGAGAGAGATCTATTTGGGCAAGAGAGGTATACTATTCTGAGGGTGCAGAATCTACAAGATTGGAACTTCCTATCTCCTTTGAATCCCCAATCTCTTCCAGTTTGGGACTCTATGCCTCTTGCCTGGAGACAAAATCCCTCCGTATCCCGCAGCGGAGAATTCAGAGCCAACTCCATGAGGTTCATCTGGGAAGTTTCCTTCAACATACCCTATAACTCTAGCCAGTATATGCAGTTTTTTGCTCAGTAGTTTACATACAAGAGCCTAGGATAGCTCTTATGAGAACTAAAGCAAAAAGGCAGCTAACTAAATACATGTTTTCATTGCTCGTTTCCTTTTTGCTCTCCTCATTTTAAAAAATGGGTCCAACTGAAAAAAATGCATTGTTAAAGACTACAGAAAAATCCTCTTTTTTAGACATTATCAAATAAATTCCCATGAGCCAAAATTTAGGTTTTCTTCTTGCCGTAGCTTTCATCTCCAGCCCTAATTCTCCTTTCGTTAGGTATTCTTAATTCAGAACTGGAGGTTCACTCACAATCAGTAAAAGGAAGTAAATAAAACATTAATGAATCCACTATTCAGTGAGTTTCATTTTGTGCTGTAGTATTGTTTTAATAGATATTAAGGCTTGAATGGACCATTATGATCATCTAGTCTGATCTGCTGCAGAACATCAGCCACAGAATCTTACCCAGTAATTTTGGCATTAAGCCCAATAACTTGGGGGCAAAGTTTGTTCCTTGGAGAGCCTGTATTTGGAACTCTCGACAAATCTGTTGAATAACATCATTGAAAACTTGTCTGTTTTCTTGCAGCATGAATATTTACTGAATGAATGGCCAATAAATGCACTGTCCTCCTAATTTCTGATTTGAACCTCTATGCACTTCTGATTTCAGAACTACATTATAAAGTAATGTGTTTTCCAGGTTTCATTTATTAATCAGCAACTGTAGTTATTTTGTTCCCAAACTTAAGATCTGCTGAAAATCTTCATCTCAGCACCGTTAATAGCCAGTATTCTACTATCAGATCATGAGCGTATTTTCTTGTCAAGATTAATGCGGAATTGAATGTAAAATAAAAAGACGTATGTCCTTCTTGGTGGTCATGGTTAGCATACAGAGGTATTCAATGAGACTCCAACAAGAAACTGCTGAGTTTGAATTAATATGCAAACTAGATACCATTAACTTGGGTTTGAATAGAGACTGGGAGTGGCTGGGTCATTACACATATTGAATCTATTTCCCTAAGTTAAGTATCCTCACACCTTCTTGTCAACTGTCTAATGAACCATCTTGATTATCACTATAAAAGTTTTTTTCTCCTGATGATAATAGATCATCTTAACTAATTAGCCTCTTACAGTTTGTATGGAAACTTCCAACTTCTCTGTATGTATATATATATATATATATCTTTTTACTATATGTTCCATTCTATGCATCTGATGAAGTGGGCTGTAGCCCATGAAAGCTTATGCTCTAATAAATTT